TTTAAAAGAAGTCATGTAAAGAGCAGCATGTTGAAAATTTTTCCCACGGGTTTTTACTCCGGGGAACACCGGATCTGACTCTGGAACTCGCCGGATTTTTTTGTCCTCCAATCAAGTTCATTTGGCAAACCATTTTTGCTCCTGTTGGCTCAATCTGCTGCTGCTTTACTGACTTCATGCTGATAACTGCATCGCTGGCGACTCAATATGTTTCGAAAATACAGGCATTAATTCAAGTTTGAGCTTGTTCAGGTACCGGATAGATGCCAGGCTTTATTTCGCATGCGGAATTTTCCCAGAAAAATGAACATAAGAAGACGGCTTTGCCCGGTCCTCATATATATCAGTTAACTGCTAATGTCCACAAGCTCGGCGTTCTGTTCGTTCGGATAGACGAGGTCAAGGCTGAGCCGGCCGATGTCGAACACCTTCAAGCCGATTCTTCCGGGATTGTAGTAGGAGTACGGTAGATAAACTGCGAACTGACGATAAATGCCCTGAAACAGGAAACTAAGAAACATCAAAAGAATACATTTTTGAAGCATCTGTGTTTGTAGCATTATCAGTTTCGGACAGAGCTGTGAGGGCACTTTGGTTTTGGCCCATCACGGCCAAAATGCGCCCTCCTTGGCCAAATGCCGAAATGCGCCTCATTTCGAAGTACCTAAATTGTGCATGTATGAAGTGGTGTGGCAGGCTTATGCCTATATGTTTGTTTTCTTGCTTATGCTTGTGTTACTGAACACAGCTGCTCTCTCACTAGTATGGGGCTGGTGTCGCAGTCTCGCGTGAGTTGTTTATTGTTTTCAGTTCGCATCCACGCTTTCTGGTACCTGCAGGCACCTTCACTTTAGAGGCTGCTATTTCCATGTATTGTAATACTGCCCAAATCTTCTAGTCAATAAGCTACCCCTCATCGCAGTCTAGGAATGGCAACTTACAGGACGAGGAGGTGATGCCCAATAAAACGCACACACATACACTTATACACACACAAACACCAGTGATATTTCTGGAAATGGTCGAAACCTTGCCAAACAAACATATGAGCTGGTAATTCCTTCGGGAGCCAGAACGAACTTCGAGATCGCTAACAGCAGCACTGATCAACAATTCTACTCATGTCGTCATAATTTAATAACCAAACAAAAAAAGCATTCCAGAAAGTTTTACTGCTTGCAGTTCATGGGCAGCTGCGCCGCACTGATGACTGATAACTAGAATGGGCTTCTGAAGTGCTGCGCGACCGCTGGATAATCGAAATCGCCCATTATTTTGCACTTGTTGTTCTTCAACAAAACTTTCGACAACTGAAATTTTCAGTGCACTATAGCTCCCGATATTCTGCAAATCCACACTACTGACTAAAGACTCCCTCCAACGATGATGCCTGGAACCCTTGCACTCCATCATATTACTTAAAGCAGATGCTGACAGGTTCGTGGACCAACAATTACCACCACTGCTCTATTGCAAAATGTGGGGTTTTTTTTCAACCCTGTCAGTAAAAAAACCAATCCCGTTACGATTCGTTCATTCGTTTCATCGGCAAATTGGTACTAACACATGATAAAACCGACCATCA